CGACAGTCACGCCTCACCCCACGGTGTGGGGTCGGCGGATATGTGTATATGTGTTTCCCTGTCAATGTGTGTGTGTTTAAATGTTTTGTTCAAGTTGGGATGCGCATTTCTATCATCCATTTTGGGGTCACTACATTATATAAGATTTAGGCCAGTACCCACACACAATTCATATTGGATTGTAGGATGTTCCAAATTTGTTCGCAGGTTGAACTGCAGTGAACCAAGTGGCAACTGACGGGACCGGGCATCGGTCCCGTCGGTGGGACGACACTTTCATCTTGTGGCGACTCTTCCTATATCAGATGACATCAGATGGCAGGACCTGTCCTCTTCCAGGGCCCCAAGTGTCAGACAAGAGGTGTTGACCAATATCGTTTACGCCCCCTCAGACGTTCAGGGCGTGTTCAGGCCCGCACCCCGACGTCAAAGGGCCAAGACCTGACATGGCACGAAAAAAGAGGTGTTGGGTGTGTCAGGGATTTGGGCTGCTTTTCAGTCCCCCTTCTGGTTGGAACGTGTGGGCATCCAGACGCCCCTGGCAATTCTCGAAGTGTTTTCCTGAGGATTGGATACTTTGGGCATCCATTGCTCTTCATGGTTCCTGAGGCTGGGCATGGCTTCAGGTGAGGGTCAAGTGCACCTATAGGTCAACTCAGAGGCCATACGCCACTGGAACCTTCACCATGAGGAGGGATGGAATCAACAACGTAGCCAAGCGCCGGAAAGGAGTCGCTCCAATTTGGGAGGCAGGTGATTCCCAGACCATCCATGTATGGAAGATCTACCCATACTGACCCTCAAAACATCCAAAACATCACACCAATGATGCTCAGTTGATGCCACATGAGGAGGAAGAGCTCCGAGAGAAGTTCTGGAAACGCTTTGCCGACATGGCATCTTGCTGCATGTGGGAAGTAATTAAGTGGGGCCTCATGGAGGGTGCCTGCCAAAGTGGGTGGCGGAGAAAGGATTGACGATCATATCATCATATCTTATTAGATCTTATTTACGTGAAGTGCATGTTTTTTTTGGGGGCCGTTCATGTGATCCAGAGTTAGAGTAAGAGAATTGATGATCATGTACAACAAGTTGCGAGGTGCACTGACTGGGGGCCCTTCAGAAACTGGCCTCCCCTTCAGCCTATGAATCTAGATGAATGGCCGCCGATGCACCACTCCCCAGGGAGGTTGGGGCTCTTCCAGCCAGAGATGAAGTTCAAAATCAACCTACCCTAAGAATCCTTGGGCTGTCCATGGCAGGGGTCCGGACCCTCCCATGGCAGGGGGCCGGATTCTTAGGGCAGTGAAAGAGAAGAAAACAGGTGCCGAATCTGGAGGGCAAGAGTGCCCACGGTCCACTCATTGGATGGGACTATAAAAGCAATTCCATTTGTAGCTGCTGGTTTAAGCCAGGGCTCTGGGAACCTGAGCATCCTGCAAGTTCCATTGCAGTCGAGAACTATGGTCATGCCAACCCTAGGACCCAGTCTTTGCTGTTCGATGCTCCCAGATCCCCCAATCCAAGCCGATCCCAACAGCTCACCCCTTCAAGTTCGGGGCCTGCTCACCTAAGGAGGCGAAGAGTGGAGTGGCCTTTGCAGTGAGTGATCCCTTCCTGCAGCGCCTCAGCTGCAGCCCTCGATCCGCCCCCGGTCCATCACACGGTCCACGGTCCGACCGACTCCGGGGGGGGGTTGGACCGGAGCTGGGACGGGGCAGCCGACGTCGTCGAAGCGGTGAACTGGGACGGGGCGGGTCATTGGAATTCCTGAGGGAAGGAGAAATTAGCCCTAGGCTTCCAACAACCATTAACTTAATAGGCTTTACCCAATCAACTAAGGATGTTACACCACAAAAACCAGGTCAACCATTTTTTTAATGGTCTTGGAAGCCGAGGGTAGTATGATTGTATGTATATGTATATGCATAATCATGATGCAGCATGACTAAATGTACATGAAATCCAAGCCTCTCAATTCCTTGCTTCAAGGTGACCGTGTTAAGACTGTTAAGTCTTGCCTTCACATCCCAAGACTTGAGAAGAAGGATCGAATAAAACGGTGGCCCGAACATACGGTACTTCTTCGTTCAATCAAAGTGGCACCGATTTTGTGGTCCCTGAAAAGGGGACAATCAGATCTGATCGTTCAATCCTCAAGTTTTCTTTTAAAAGCAAAGAACAAAAACAGTTGGATCACTTAGTTGGCCACCCAGGATTTCAACTCAGTGGTCATCACGTGTTTTTCAATATCGTTTTCAACTGGCTGGGTTTGCTCCTGACACGGCCTTCACTCTTCCATCTACACCCATATAACTAAATGGCGGGGATACCCCCAACATGGTAGCATAGAGCCCTGTCAGCCTAACTCCTTCCCAGCCCACCCACCCGGGCAAACCATGTCCCAGGATGCAATATGAGTACCAGCTGGGCCGTCGCTTGACGGTGCTGCGGACGCACGCGCTCTACACGGGCGCGACGCACATGCCCCAGCGACCGGAGGAGATTTTGGTCTTGGATCGGCCGCATGAGGCGATTCTCATGTGTACGCTGCAGCGGTAGCTGAGCCGAATGGGTGGGGTGGGGATAGGGCGTGTAGGCCACCTGGGCCACCTGTGGGGGCGCTCAGCCGGGAATGGGTCAGTAGTTTGGGGGGCGCCGAAGGGGCTCAAAACGAGTCAAAAAGGGAAAAGAAGCAGTCCAAGTGATTTGGACCTTGGCTTGCATGATTGATGATAGTTAGGTCCTATAGCTTTCCTGGAAGGATGTCCTCTATGCCTTTGCCACGGAAGAGTTCGAGTTTGTTCCTTCATGGTGAGTGATGATTTTGGCTCTCTCATCCCATCTCCTTATGATGTTCAGAGTTTGCGGGTAGGTTTGGTTTGCACCGGCGTGTTGGGTATCAGTACCACAGTGCCACACGCAGGTGCTGGCCTTTCTAAAACCCAGTTTCCTGCAATTGGATGAAAACAGTGCTCTGCATGCCTAATACAAAGTGTTGGAAGCTACATTGCGACATGCAGCGGTAATTGGACAAGGCAAAAAAACGGCTGATTGGACTTTCTATCCGATGACTTTCACCAACGATGTCGAGAGGCAAGCAGTGGTATTTGGTAGACTCGTAGCTTCCCTGGGCTCGTGCGTCCAAAGCCAGTCCCCTCATCATATCAGCCTCATTGTCGTGCTGCTTCCCCTCCTCCTACCTACCCAGTCAGTGAATCACCCTTGAAGTGATTTCCCCATCCCAGCTACTCCACACGGCCCCGTGCTAACCCCGGTGGCCAGGCCCGCCAGTGGTCATTGTTGTCAGTTCTGCCTTTTTGGTCCGAAGAAATCCACCAGCTCAGCGACATCCACCGGCCTAGGTTGCTGGGTGAGCCCTTGGACTGGCGCACCAGCGACGGTCGCTTACGCGCGGCGGGCAGTGCCACGTATCCCTTTCGCTTCCTGACGCGGCAGCTGACGGAACCCTGGGCCAAACGCGCGAGGTTGGGCCCAGATTGGGGGGCATCAAAATGTGGGGCACGAAGCTTGAAGCCTTTTGAACACCTTTGATACTGCCCATGGTTTTTGGATGTTTTTGGTTGGAGATTGCTAGATGGCTTAATTACATAGGATGGCTTGGGCGCCATAGCTGAAGTGAGCTCCAACTCAAATCCCTCAAGTATATCATCCTCAAGTCATGAGCACCTCAAGCGCCAATTCGAGTTTAGTCCCTGGTCACCGTGTTTGACGTCAACGGACGGCTCCTGCGGGCCGGGCGGTTTGGGAATCGTCCTTTCCATCCATCCACCCAGTTTGACAGAAATGCGACGCGCTGGTGATGTAGAGCTCATGGTAGAGGTATCCTTAGTATACTTGAGTCACCACTACTTGAGTCATTGAGGGAACCATTTCAAGAGAGAAGAAAGACCGTATCCCCTGACCCATGCCATGTGGGTGTGAAGGGAGACCTCCCAGCTCGACCGAAGAAGGAACATGTATGGTAAATACACCACAAACCATCCAAAACCGGGTGTCGCACGCAACTACAGACACCCATGTCTCTCCTTTGTCTCCCCCCCTTGAAGCCCTTCCACTCCCATGGTCCACCGACGGCCAGCCAGACGCTCCAAGGATAAGAAGTTCAGCACCTTTGCGCAGTTCCGAGCCGTGGCGTTGTGGCCCTACGACATGGATCTCATCACCTTCTATGAGTTTTATGGCCCCTTGGACGGATCACGATCACGTCTTAGACACGTCTTAGACGGATGCTGGCAAAAGAGCTCAGGTTCCATCCAAAGGACTGGACGTTGGATTTAACATACATCGAGTCATGTATAGATACTATAGTTGTAATATATGTTTTGACGTCTTCTTAGAGTCAACATTTCATCACATCCAAAGGACTGGACGTTGGATGTTTTTCTGCGAAACGATATGGATAGTCATACGTACATGGATGCAACATACGTATTTTTGGGCAGTCATGTTGCAAACGTTTCATGTTGCAATCGGATCACTTATGCTGGGAATGACTCTTGAAGAAGGACTTTGATAAAGTATATCTTGAATACATGGACACCGAAGGACATGGGATAAAGGTGATGTTCCCGTCCACTAGTTGGATGTGAGCTTTCTTTGGATGCATACGGATCCCAATCATGGGTAGTAGGTATCGCAGCTGTTGGTCCGTTTTGCCGCCTTCAACTGTTTGCAACTTCATGCTTTTCCGGAGGCAGACCGCTGTTCAGTCGGTTTGGATCGTCCAAAATGGACTAAGGCATGAACATGCCGATCTTCATGCCTTCGCACCTCTCGAAGTACATCTTCCATCAAGACCACGAACACTACGACTTCCGCTGGGCTGCCCGAAACGTGGAGCCTCGTTTGCCCGAAACGAAGGCGTTTCTTTGACCAAAGCCTTGCTATGTTTGCCTCTAACATCCTCCAACTCAACCTGGATGCTGTTGAAATGTGCTTCTAGGCGGGGTTTGTGACTGGCTAACTAACTGCATACATGATTCATGGGATGACTTTTTGGACCAATGCTGACTTCTTCCCTTCATAAACATTGAGCCCAGCACAGCATGGTCCCTAAGTGAAGCCACTGACAACCAGCCAGCCAAATGGGCAAGTTGAAAGACAATCTTCGCGTTGAAAGGGGGCTCTTGAGCTTGGACCAGTTGGAAGGAAAACGAGGGCAAAGTCACGTGAGTAGCTTCATCATGCAACTCAATTAGAGAGTTTTCGAGGAGGCTTTTGCTAGTGAGCACTCCAGTTTTGATAGCGTTTGAGCCTGGCGCTTGGAAAGCAGCCAGTAAGCAAAAGGAACCAAGATGAACCAACCAAATTTGGCTAAGCCAGGCCTTGCTGGAGAAGGAGTGGCTTTGAAGTGTACAAGGTAGCTGTCTTCGTTGAGAAGAATCAAATGCCCCCAAAGCATGAGCTTCTTTCAGGGCAAAACAAGTTGTGAGCATTGTTCAACCTGTATGTTGCACATCCTTGCTCCTACGCCGGTTTTGAAGTGGTCCATCGTGTGTTCAAAAAGAGAGCACTGCCCAATGATCATGGATATGATACAACTTACAGGCTCATAGGAGCATTGATGCGGAGATTGGAGGCTGCGTCATTCCCCTGCGTTCAGTTCCAGGCCTTTAGGAGAACCTCCATGAGAAACCAACTGCCTGCTTGCTGCTTGCTCCTCACTGTCAACGCACATCATGGCAACGTGCAGGACATCCAAATTGGGATACGCCAATTTCAGTCCAAGATCGTCCCAACTCCATATGCTTATAGCCTTATAGCTGCTAAACGAGGTATGCCATCATGTCGCCCATGCTCGGACTCGGCGTCCGACGTCCCGTCAAGTCCGACGGCGCTCCCGCTCTCTCCGCGCTCGGAGAGCGCTCGGAGCAGCTCGAGGACTACGAGTCTCCGGAGCCAGCCCTCTGGAGCAGCGAGCTCACTGACCGAAGCCCCTTTGAGGAGTCGTCGCCGGAGGCCGTGGCGCGGATCGTGGAATACGCGGACGCTTGGTGAGAGGAAGAACGACACGGGTGGGAACACACCCATGTCTGAAGGAAGGGCATGGGTGTTCCTGCTTGGGACGTGATCTTCAGGGTGAAGAACATATGGACTTGGGCGAAGAGCATCATGTACCCTAGCTTCGTGGGATTTCGCGGGTCCTAGCCAGTGGCAGCTGCTTGGTGTCTTTAATGGGTTTTTTATCACCACCCCGGGCCGCTGTTGTCGTTGATCTTCAGGAGGTCCCTTGAGAGTTGCTTCCGGTGGAATATAGTCCATCGGGCATTTGGACCTTCTAGTGGTTGGAAAACCCGCAAGATAGCCCCGACGACAGCAATACTGACAAGCAACACCTTGGACTCATGTGGAATCATTTAGATATCTGAACGGTTCCGCACAGGACAATAACCTTCTCCGACGAACACGTTCATCAACTCATCAACCATGTGGTTGCCAGGATTGCTTGGCTCTTGAATCCTACAAGGCTCGTCTTTGTGACTTAGGACTACTTCCGATTTCCGGAAGTGCAGCACTTCGACTCCATCCCCGCAGCTTGGTGCAGTTCAGCCGTCTGCCGTCTCCAGGGCTGGGGCCGAGGGACGGAGCTTGTTGTATAGAGCCGAGGGAAGCGCTTCCAAGAGGACTACGATCGTCGATATGAGGGGGGTACTTAATCGTGAAACGATGTGAAAAGGAGGCTGGTAAACCAAGGGAAAATACCAGAGGGGGTACTTAATCGCAAGACGCAAGACCAAGGGTTCCAAGAAAAAACATGAGTAAGTTGAATTGTTCAAATACATGTCAAAAACTAATCCTTCTGTGGTTCCTTGGGGTTGACCCGGCCCACGGAACACACGGAGGGGCGGACGGGGCCTCATTGGACAACACGGAGTTGAAGAAGCTCCCAATCCAAGCTTCTGTCGTTTCGGATCCTCCAGTTCTATGGATGTCTTCACAAAGAACCTTAAAGTCCAAAGTCCCAATTGTAACCAAGTGGCTTCGATGCAAACTCTCCCAAAAAAGCAAGAGGCCCATCTTGCGAAGGAGAGTCCAGTCACAGCGCCTTGTTTGGCACCATGGACAGCTTTTTATACTGGTTCCCAGGCTTGAGGATGCAACAGCCTTTTGTCCAAGCGTGTTCAGGTCCCATTGAATTCCACCAGGTGGGGTCCAATCTGGCCCTGGAGCCCGGTTTTGGGAGAGTGACTCCTCACTCGGATGTGTGTTTAGCATTGTGTTTGGGTCCAGGGTCTCAATGCTTTGCTCCCGCAAGTGGTTGGGACCGTTTGAGGCTTTGTTGGAGATGTTGTTGAAGGTGGACTTCTTTGAGAGCCTTGGCTGGCTGTTGGCCTTGGCTGGCTGAGCCGGGATCCGGAGCCGCTCCGAAAGTGCTTGGCTTCTTGAGTCGTCGAGAGCACTTTCATGGGAAAAGGGGTAGGTAGGTGCATTTATTTAAAGCCCAGACTGATGACTCAGCACAAATCCAGTAAAGATCCCCATGCTGAAAATCACTGCCACGAAAGAATCTCAAATTCACGACCGATGAGTTTGCGGATGTTTGCGGATGTTTGCGGGAAGGTAGGCTAGCATTGACGTCCTTGGGCCCTTTTCGAGCGTGCTTCACACATCAGTTTTGCAAATCGCCAGGGTTCAGACCATTGTGCGGCTTGTTCCGGTGCCATCAGGATCACACAGGAAATGGCTCGCTTCAACCAGGATTCCTTGGTCGAGACTTTGCGTTCGTGGCGCGTCCTTGCGCAAGGGACCACTGGCTTTGAGCCCTCCTTCTTCTGAGGAAAGGAAGAGCAAAAGAAGCGCGGGCGAGCTTAGAAGATGATGGAAGTATGTTGAAAGAGTACCACGTCACTGGATTAGATTGGCTCTAGGCTAGCATGGCCCCTGATCCTCCATGCGGCCATAAAAGCACACACACACACCCAAATCGCTTACAGCTTGTAGGCAGTCGGCAGTCGGCCGGGACGTGGTGAAGCCCTGAAATTGACTCGTGGCTTCTCTGGATCCTAGGGCCCGACCTGAAGAGGTATACCCTATGACCTTTCCACCAAGTATCCTGGGTGATGACCCGGCTCTGACCACCGCCGTGGTGTTTCTGGCGTCATCATAGGCGCCGAACCACCGGCTCGCGTTTTCGGCCAGGCGGATCGAGGTGAGGAGGAGAAGCACTGTAGCCTGGCCGTGAAGCCTGGGGATCGCATCAAGGCACAGGGGGCGGTGGTTGGTGGTTTTGGAGGAACAGAGGAACGGAGAGTGGGAGGAGTTCGCTCTTTTTCATGCCTCATGCCGTGTTCCAGGTGCTATCGTATTTTCTTGTCTACCTTTTAAATTATACATACATTTTACTTGTATAGGAGTTGGTGGAAGTTGTTTCGCTACTCTTTCATTCTTTTCATTCATGCTATAACTATATGCTGATGAGGTTGGCCAGAGGTGAGACCTGCGGTTTGAACATCCCAGTTTGCTGCCTGACAGGTCTCCAATGGAGACCCTTTTGACCTGCTTCCGGAACCCTTCGAACCAGTACTCGCCTTCTAACTATAGATGTATATATAGCCGCCTTTTCTGGCCTCAAACATATCAAAATATCTATAGTGGTTTCAGAATAGATGGCACAATCCCCAAGTTCGGTGGTTTTGATGGATCCCCATCTATACTAAGACGTCTTCGGGTTTCTGCCTACTCTGACACCACTGTATCCCCATTCTGGCACTGTATCCCCAAGATCTCGCTCTCTCGGCGGTCCGTAACCACCGCGTAACCGCCAGGCGGTCAATGATCTGAACTCCGCCACGCTGATGCTCAGCGAGCTGGAGGACACTGGATCGACCTGCCGCGACGGGCGGCACCGACCGCCACCGGAGCAGGGACAGACCGTCGACCCCATGAGATGTGTTCCCGGTCCGAAGCACCGAAAGCGCACGGAGGTGAGGTAGCGCAGGGCAGCGCAGCGGACGATGGAGTTCCATGTCGGGGTGCCGCCTGTCTTGAGTAATGGTGCCCATGATCGTCTTACTATATGAATGGGACTCAAAAGCATTCCTTTGCAACTGCAGATCGAGTATGATGGAGTTATACAATAGCTTTTTGTTGTTAAGGATGATCGGGAACTTCTAAGAAATGTGACTCATGATATCTCATGATTCATGATGTTCATGTGTGGTCCACGATGAAATTGGGGCCACTTTGGAACACAAGGTTTCAGGGGCTGCTTGAAGGACGGTATGAGAGAGCTTGCTCATGGCCAGTGGATGTAGGGGAAGGAGCTTCATGAGTTCAGTACACCCTTGGATCCTCAACAACATCCAACGACCATTCTTTCAACGGTTTGTGCCAAAGAACCATTGTTTTACATTAAAGTAATCGATTTTACACTACCAACGCCGGCCAACGATGTGTTTAAAACCACGGTCTACCGTCACGGCGGGGCGTCCTTCGTCGCAGGAGGCCGCCAAGCCAGAAGAGCCCCGGAAGGTGAACTTGGAGGCATCGTTTTGGTGGGGGGAGATGAGATGCGTGAGAGATGCGTGGTCCATGTGTTTTTTCCTTTTTTGAGACTGATTTTGTCTATTGTTCGTCATGTTTGATGTTTCATGCTTGCACCAGCTTGCACTTGAGATCACACCTAGTGTTCCCATGATCGGCCGTCTCCAAAAACAAAAGCATGAACAGAGAGGCATGCACGGTCGCACATCCACCCACGCGCGCGCGGAAACCTTGTTAGAAGCCTTGGCCCTATTCCTTACAGCTGATGACTAACCCTGTCCTCTCCCTCTCCCTGCATCTAGAAGGCGTCCCCCAAACAGAAAATCCCTTTATATCAACATCTCTGAGCTAAATACCGACTCGGTGCGCAAACTCTTGCCTTTGGAAGCACAGGGACAAAGTTTTCATGGCTTCCACAGTCTGTACACGTGGTCCGAAGACTACACTTCCCGTTACTGAAAGTAAAGGACACTCACTTTTGCATCCCCCATGACTATTTATGTGCCTTTGACGAAGGCAGGCTTTTCGTCTCATCGAACCCCCCGCAGACAGGTCTCTCGCGACATCTCCAACGTGTTGTCACCCTCCCCGGCGAAGAAACCGCCCCCGCGCGGCTGCAGCACCTGGGCCCAGTCTCGCACGACACGCGAGACACGCTGCATGTGCATGGAGACGTCCAAACCCAGACACTCCATTGTTACTTAGGCTCATACATGGGGTAAATGTGTGTCGCTGTTATTATGCATCTATGTCTCTATGCTATAGATGGACATGTGGACCCTGATTTTGTAGGATCCTTAGTTCGATGGTCTGGCTTGATCATCGCCTCCAGTGCAGAAGTGTTTTTTGGTGAGTTCTGATGCGATTTGTGTCGCACTTGCTGTTTCAACATCACCCCCCATCCAAACTCTCTATCTACCTCTGTGATGTTTCTTGGGTTTTAGCCAAAAACGATCACGATCTCACCAAGGAGGCTACGCTCCCAACACCACGAACATTGAAAAATACTAAATTCTAAATTTAAATAAACAAAAGAGATCAACAGAGCATTGACCGACCCAGACCCCATCATCCATTCAGCCATCATTCAAAAAGCAAACACACACAACAAAAAGACTTGAGGTTTGGGCAGCCCCCAAACTCTCGTCTCTTCTAAATGATCAAAAAGAAAAGAACAAACAAACACTCTCAGATTTTGAAGTTAAGGATATTGAACTTCAAAAGAAAACTCTCAGAGTTGAACCAAATCCCTCAGACGCAGCTGTTGCTCGCCGAAGCGTGCCCCTTAAGGCGTGCCCGCGCTGCGCGAGCGGCCGGCGATGGAGCGGCAGACGATGTATGGTCGTCCGCCACGGGCGCCGAGGCGGGTAGAAGATGGTAGAAGTGGGAAGTCGATGGGGGGGAGGAACATGGAACTGGAAAATTAAACAGATAATAGGCTGGAGGCCATCGCTAGTAGGTTGGAGGCCACCGCTACTAACAGCCAGAATACAATTTATAATGGCGATGCTTCCTTAGCTTGATCTGGGGCACTTGTACTTGGTGGGGTCAAATGCATGTCCGTAACTTGGTTTGCACTCACAATGATTTGGATAGAGATGGGTAGAGTGCGTCATCAGATGTGGATGCTTTCGAAGTCCTGGGCACGGCCTTATGGCCGATTCTTCGAGTCGAAGGCTTCTTAGTAAGAACCCTAAACCCTGTGCACTGGAGAGTGAACACCACGCGGTTGGTGTACACCACACGGGTTTAACATGGTTTGACAATGCCTTTTACTTCAGCCCTATGGCTGATCATGGCTTCAAGGTCAGAGAACCTTGATGTCAGTGTTGATCAAGTTTAATTATATATTATACACTCAAAATTTAAGATTTCAATCAGCTCACAACTCACCAATCCTGGCGTCACTGGCTTCGTTCGCTTTTGGCCGCGCGGATTTTGGGTTGAAGAAACGAGCTGAAACGAAGAGCTCCAGAGTTGGGACTGAAATGAAACGACCCACGAAATGCTTGTCGGCCTTTACAATTTTTGTGTTAGCCTTCCGAGGGGGTTCAGCAGCAGCTCTAAGACTCTAATCTATGTTGAAACTGAGATCAGAGTGCTTTGCATAGCTTTAGTCTTGAATGTAGCAGGAGCCGGTACTAGCAGACAGATCAAACCTCAACAGTTCTGCATATGTGCATGACCTCTTGAAGAAAGTTGCCATGCAGATCGTTTCAAGAGCATCCACCCAAACAACGCAGAACCTTAAAGACCTTCTTCCCGATGTTTTAATTCATCGTCGCTATGGCCAAGCGGACGGCCACATGCACCGCGGCTTTGCTGGTGACGCTTTGCTTGCCGGTTGGCTTTGTAGGCCCTTCCAGGACTCCAGGCATCCAGTGGTGAACAGCTACTGGAGTTTTGGGCCATTTCCCTGACACATATATAGGGATCGACTAGCCATGACTAGCCATCCTTTGGCCGGAACACATGTATTGAGCCGCCTTTGTGACTCGTTCGTGGCTTCGACTGGCACTCCCCACAGCTCCATGTGCACCAGGACCGCGGCTCACGCACGCGTGCCCGCGGCTCACCGAAACCGGCACCGCGTGGGGCCTTTGGGTGCGAAGAACCCGCCAGACGTGCGGAAGCTGCTGGAAGGCGCCGGGCTCATTCCGCCGCAGCCCACCGAGCGCTGGGTCCCCGAGGAGACGCCGGCTCCGCGGTCGATCGGAGGTCGGACGGACGAGGTTCCTGGACGTGGTTCGCGCGCGAACCGTTCGCGGTCGAGGTGATGCCGGGGTGGAGTGATGGTGCATAGACATCATAGACCTTAAGTTGAAACTGGAAGATCACGAATCTATGAAGATCACTGAAGTGCCCAGCTGGGGAGCAGGGCGCATCAGTGAAATTGGAGTATATACCCACTGTGTGCACGCATGCAAAGGAACCCTGTGGGCTCATGGCTTCTCATGTTTCAGTATTCTTTTGGGGAATGTGAGAATGTTTGTTCCCACAAGACCCGGCCCGAAAACAAAGAAGACCTTTCGATACTGTTCCGTTGGCGTGTGGAATCCAGTGGACCTGGAGTCTTTAAAGTACCTTGAAAAATAACAAATAATAAGCTTATATACCCTGCAAGTCCGAAGTGCAAGTTTAACGAAGTCATCTGAGAACGATCAAGTTTTACGAGGTCATCGCGTTTGTCGGAAGAACCGCCCTTTTGTCATGACCACACTGGCGTCGCCACCAGAGCCCACATAGATCCTGCACAAATCGATGAAAAAACACTCAAAACATCTCAAAACAGTAGCCAAATTCATTAAATCACGTTACGTTACCTCCTGGTGTGATGTTGTATGTGAACCTTCACATGTTCACTGCATATTCTATAGTCCTAGCTGCGGTTCTTGGCTTAGCCGCTTGCCATCAGAAGATGCTAAAACTGCCAGTCCTTGCCATGTCATCGTCGCCACACCAGATCCATATCGATCCTGGAAAACAATTTTGGAGCAAGTCCAGTTCCACTCATGCTAGCAATGCTAGCACGGTTTTTGGCTTAGCCACTTGCCATCCAACTGCTAATTCTTGGTTCCTAGCTGCGGTTCTTGGCTTGGCCGCATGCCATCCAAATTCACAACAAGAAGATGCTGCAGAATGAGTAACCAACCTGAATGGTACTATGCAATCAGAGAGCCAAACTGTCCTGCGCATGCGTGCCTTTGCACACTTCAAGCGGAGCCTCGCAATCTTGGCCAGGAACTTTTCCATGTGTCTGCCAGAGATTGCACATGACAGCTTCTTGATCATCCCGATGGTGTCTTCTTCTGAGAAGCAATGCGAGAACCTCGAGTTCAGTCCTGAGATGCTCAAGTCCAGGGATAGAAGAACAGGTTAATTGACCCAAAAGACCACAGAAACCTCTTCCCAAAAGACCAGTGAAGCCTCTTTGAACCTGGAATTACCAGCTCAAACCTGCAAATCAAGTTCTCCTCTAGAGGAAAGACCAGTCAATGTCATCCAAAGACACACTCAGCCAAGAATCGCTCTCTCTTGGTGCGAGCCAAAACGTGGCAGAACATGTGCGCCTTTGGCTTCAAGAACCAGCACTGCAGCCCCATCCTCACAACTGACTCAACAATGGCGAAGGGACCTTGAGGTCTCAAATGGCCCTTCAGGTCTCAAGGGGCCGTTGAAGTCTTTAAGATAAAGGAAAATTCGACGCCCCCCCTCAACGGAGATCCTGCTGGCTATTTTGAGGCAGCTGAGGTGGTGGTGCAGAAAGCGCTTCCCAGCACTGTGGATGGCATCAGCCTGATCCTGCGTCCTGAGCAATCAAAGTGATCTCTGATAAGTTCTGGCATCATTGATGCCTACATGTGTGCTCTTGAATCTTTGAAGACAATGCCTACCACATCCTACCACAGTTCTTGGCTTAGCCACCTGCTATTTGGTGTGCTTGAATGGAAGTTTTTAACATCACCCAAAAAGGCCACCCAATCAGTGAAAGAACATTGGAACTGAACATGTCCTGCCACCCCCCCACCACTTCAGGCTATGGTGCAAGAACCGTCCAGATCTCTCACAAAGGCCAAACCACTCACAAAGAGCTTGCCTTGGGCAAGGAGGGAATGAGGTTGGCAACATCATCTCAGGAACAGACCGGATGGTCGAAACCCAAAGCAGGGTCTCGTGGTGCCATATGATCAACCAGCTAATTGGAACAGTCACCGGAACTTTCTCTGGCTCCATCCAAAGGTCTGTGGACCATCCCCTAGGGCTCCTGGCCCACCTCCTGAGAAGGTGGTTGGGATGGGTTTTGGGGGTCTAACCAGCCCCAGCTGGCAAATTCATTTTGAAGACTAAGTGACGAAGCCAGTGGATTCACCACCAGCAAGGGGTCATCTGGCCACATGCGGTTGCCAGCCTGGATCTCCGCCTGAAGCCACTTGCCCAGTGTTCGGTCCTGAAGCAGGTGAGTCCAATATGGACCTGTCTAGGTGGAGGTGGTCTACCCTGACCAAAGGACATCTCTACTAGGAGCAAGGACACTACCCCTACAGGTCCAAAGTCCCAGTGATGACTTATACCTGTAGGGAATTCAGGTTCATGTGCTAGGATTTTGAATATGCCTTAGACCTGTAGGGAATTCAGGCTCTCAACACCTGAGACATCCTGAGACCCTCACCTGGTGGTGTAGGAGGGCCACAATTTTGCCAGGTTTCCTGGCATGACAATCCAGCTTCCCACAACCCCCAGAAAGATGCCAGCCCAGCACCTGGGCTATCAAAGCCTCCTTGAGCTGTTGCATCCTCTTGGATCCACCGTCTGGCCTGCGCACAGGTCCACAGGGAGTCAAGTGTGGAAACCTGGAGACACAGGAAGGGGCAAGGAAGGGGAGGGTCCAAAAATTGCAAGATCCAATGGAGTTTGACAGGAATCCATGTCGATCTGGATTTTGCATAGTTGGACCCTGAACAAAGGGATTTTGGTCAGATTTCCTGCATTTAGGGAGTCTTTGAGAGGCCTCCCTATTGCGAAGTCCTTTCAGCACTGACTGTAGTCTGTGAGATATTAATTGGGAGTATAAGTAATATACCCTTATCCCTCTTCTTCACAGATACTTGAGTGAGTGGTGCAATGTGATGCTCCCCAATGGCCAAGGCCTTGATGCCCTGGAGGCATGGAAGGGGCCCTACAGGTCAAGGACCTGATTTGTCGACGTGCCTAGGGTGAAATCTGTGAACAATACCTCCAATACCCTACATGTCACGGAGTCCTATGTCATGAAGGATTCTAAAAAATAAGATTCAACTGTCAGAGGTTCTCACCAACAATCTGTCAGAGGTCATACCCAAGCCCGCCTTCCACTCACGCGATATCTTCTGGAGACATAGGAATGTAGTGCTCCTTAATTGCAATGACACCAGAACAAGCCAGTAACCCTACCAGCACTTTCCACCCTAGACCTCTTCAAAGGGGCTGACCTGGTTGTGGGTGGGTCAGGGTCCAGAAGGGTCTGGAAGATGGGTCAACCAGGGCCAATCCAGGACGGTCCAGACAGGCTGACGTGGTTGTGGGTGGGTCAGGGTCCAGAAGGGTCTGGAAGATGGGTCAACCAGGGCCAATCCAGGACAATCCAGGACAGTCAGACATGAGGATACGTAAAATGTGGGAGTTGCAGGAGGGTCTGAATCACCAGGAAATGTGGTGGATCCAGTTGAGCTATATAGCTCAGTGATCACATGTCTATGCTTGATGGAGGGTTAACAGACCCAAGAAAACTTTGGGGGTCACACTTCCAAGTGGACCGAAACAGGTTCTAGATCCAAAAGTGAACCCTGCTCCATTCGGGTCGAATCGAACCGACGTCACGCAACGAAGTCGAGCCGACATCAAGGGTCATGAGCTCACAAACTGTGATTGGTCACAGAACTCATTTGTTCGGATCAGGACATAGTGCTACTTGGCAACCACCTGGGTTGGGGTCACCTCAATCAGGGTCCAGGCTCAGGTCCTGCAAGACCATCCAACACCCACTGCTCCAATTACTGCACACATTCCCCCACATGTGTGGCCAAGTGTCGGTGGAAGTCACCTTCCTTTTTGGCCCATTCCTGGATAGTCACAAAGACTGCCAACATGATGGTGGGCAAGAATCGTGGGGGAGGAGTCAAGATCCAATCCAAGATACTAGATTGCATTTGCCTCTGTGTGTTTGGCACTTGGGGCCTAGTACTTCTAGCACGTTTTCAAATCTCAAGAAGGAGTTTTAATTTGGAGGGTTTGGTCTTGCAGGGGTGTAGTTCACATCTTCAACACCAACCAGTCCTCCACATCATCATCAGGGTTGCACAGCTTCCAGCATTTGGCCACGTCCACAAGCGCAGCCTCACCAGGAAAGGCCGCGAGCGAAAGTGAGAGGCAGGATAGGAGACAGCTGTGGGATGTGGCAGGAGATCGGTCGATACGTTGGTCTCTGGGATATCCCACCCTGGTCTTATGGCAGATATCAGAATGGTATAACCCATAGCCTGAGAGGAGGCCTAGTTGGTGTTTTATAGGTCAATGGCACCAAACTGACCCATCTATATTCTTCAAAGGCAAACGGAAGGGTAGTGCACAGAAAGGGTTTTGCTATACTAACGTCGTGGAAGGCGGTTGACCTTCGTAGAACCCAAGGCTGTTCGTGGACAGTTCGTGGAATGGTATTTTTGATGCACTAACGGCACTCTGTCGGACATGTGTCCCTGTCGGAAACTGGAGCAAGACCTTGAGATGGACGAAGCCTGCTCATCACTGTGCGACGAACTGTCAGCAAGGACAGCAACACCGAGTCTGAGTTCTTGTGCGAAGACAAGGTGAGCAAGGTGAGCAAAACGAGCAGAAGCTGGAGCCACATCTTCTTTCGGCGATGAGGTCCTTGAGTGATGGAACACAAGTCACCTTGCAGCTCAAGGCTGGTGTACTACTTGCAGCTGGTTGTCCTGCTGCACTCGGACAAAAGAGGTGGCATACAGAAGGACAAGTACAGTGGGAAAATCTACGATGCGCCGATCCCAGTACTGACATCCATTCCCTACGGCCGCTATGCTAGCTGTGGCTAGCAACAGGGTCCATTGCGGGACAGCCACAGCCAGGAGATCAAATCCATGGATCCGGCATCTCCCATCGCCAAAAAGAATCGCGGCAGCAGCTATGAATCCTCACAGATGCAGGGTTCTCAAACTCGCGGAGGATATACTACAGCATGAGACCCAAGTGAAGAAGTCTCACATCACACTGTCTAACACAGTGTGTCGCTTGATCGAAGATCTATGACCTCCGGTGCTACAAGATACTGCACCAATCGGAGAACAGGTAGCAGGCAGGCATCTAGAAGCCTTACAGCACATCCTCTCAGAGCCCTGGGTCAGCTGGCCCAGTGAGCAAGATTCAAATCCTTGCTTGGAGTCAGGACCTGCGCCAACATGGAAGCATTTATCGATCATGACGTCCAAGCAAGTGAATGCCTTTAAAGAGAAGCGTTCGGCATCTCAAGCGTAGGCCGCTTGCAAACAACAAGAGACACTAAGCCCAAGGTTCACGCAGTGCATGGTGCATGGTGCAACTCTCATCCAACTGCTTGCAAGTGCAAACACCATGTCAAACAGTCAGGCAGCCACCTCTGTTTCCACAAGAATGTCAAGGGTGTGTGACAAGAGTGTCCTACAAGAGTGGACCAGAGTTTTCCACAAAGTGTGTCCAACAAGAGTGTCCTACAGGAGTGGACCAGAGTTTTCCAGATCGATAAAAGGGTGTCCTACAAGAGTAGACCACAGTTTAACAGT